TTCTATTCTACCTGAGAGGCTCCTAGCACTCGTCCGTCCAGGAAACGACCTCGTCCTGCGAAGGATTCGAAGTCTAAAGCGCTGCGTGCAGGCGTGTGGCTGCAAAATAATGACCCCTAGATATGCGCAGCAGTTTGGCTCCAGGTTGCATTTCAAGCGAGCCAACCTTTGCAGGGCTAACAAAAAACCAAAAAAAAAGGAAAAAAGGGGTCCCAAAAAAGGGGTCCCAAAAAAAAGGGAAAAGGGGTTTCCTTTGGCAACCCCTTTTCCCTTTTTTTTGGGACCCCTTTTTTGGGACCCCTTTTTTCCTTTTTTTTTTGGTTGGCTCGCTTGAAATGCAACCTGGAGCCAAATTGCTGCGCATATCTAGGGGTCATTATTTTGCAGCCACACGCCTGCACGCAGCGTTTTAGACTTCGAATCCTTCGCAGGACGAGGTCGTTTCCTGGACGGACGAGTGCTAGGAGCCTCTCAGGTAGAATAGAATCCATTTGGGAAACCCCCTCTAAAGAGAGAGAGGTGGCGCGGCGGCGCGTCCAGAATGCGCCGGACCTTGGCAACCATGCAGTGCTCAAAGCCTAGGACCGCGTCATGAATGGGGCGGCAGGTGCCGTTGCTCAGCAGCCTCCGGGCGTAGACAAAGTTCCACACATGCCCCCCTCGTCGGCAAAGGCCTGAGAGAAGTCCGCGTCGCGCCGTCCAGCTTGCTGCTGCTGCTGCGCACGCTGTTAACCACCTTCGTGCTGCGCGCCCACAGGCCCATCATCGTTCACGCTGAGCTTGGCCATGTGCTCCTCGCCCTTGGGCCACGCAGCGTCCATCGCTCCAGCGCGCGCCGCAGCGTCGCTGCGTCCACGTGGCTCCGCGCGGAAATGCCCAACACAATGTGGTCCCAGCGGCAGACGTCCAGGTCCAGCATTGCGGCCAGAACCTTCGGGTACCAGCCGGGCCCACGTACGGCAACAGATTGGCAGAACTACCTCGCGTTGCTCCACAAAGCCCAGGTCCGGAAGCATGCCGTCCACAGGCTCAACGCCGTCGGCCGGGCGCAAGATCGGCAGGGAGTTGGCTAGCCCGTTGCGCGTGCAGCGCACCATGTCCACGCCGACGTACAGAGCGTCCTTCTTGCGGGACGCTGCGCACGCCTGCGCCTCAAAAACAAAAAAAACAGCTTGGGGCTCCGGGCGTACTGCATGACGCCGGACGCCACCCGGCTCTCCAGGCTGGTGGGCTGTCTCTCGGCGTCTTCTTGCTGTGGCAGTCACGACGTGGTCCAGCTTGCAGGTGCCGGCCGTCGCACAGCGCGCACTTGCCGTCCTCAGACCTTGTGCCCCCCTTAGCCTTAGCCCGCAGTGCTGCGCCGGACTGCTGATGGCCAACTTGGGACGGCCATAAGCTGCCGCCGCGCCTTGCGCAGATCCTTGAACAGCCCCGGCTGCACGTCCGCGGCGTCAAAGCGCCGCCACTCTCCGATGGGCGGCAGGGTCTACCTCGCCTCGCCCCGGCAGAGCACGCGCGCCGCCTCACTGAAGGCCAAGAAGCACACGGTGCGGTGCTCCTTTAGCGCCGCAGCTGTCCGCAAGGTCGCCCTGCAAGCTCGCACGCGCATTGGCGCGTTGCGCCACACGCAGAACTTGCGCACCTCCTTGACGGAGATGCCAAGACGCCTCCAGTCGTGGCGCAGCATGGCGTCAAAGTCGGCGCACACCTCTTCCACGCTTGGCTGCAGCAGCTCGGCCAGCTGCGGGGCACGCAGCTCGAAGGCGCTCGGCAGACGTCCTCCTCGCAGGCAGCTGGAAGCTCACGCTCCTCACGCCCCTCATGCGCTGGCGTAGAAGCGTCTCCACCTTGGTCTCGAAGTTCCTGCGCTGCGTGCTTTGGGTGCTGACCACCCAGTGTCCCTCCAGGTTGAGGAAGTAGGTCAAGAGCTGCAGGATGGGGGCAGCAGGGTCGCCCAGCAAGGCCTCCCGCCCAGCTCGTTCACCGGCAGCCAGTCCCTGCGCTCGAAGTCCGCCCCCGCCCGCTGCGCCTTCTGCACCGGATGATCACCGGCACGTGGACCAGGTACTTGTAGAACTTGTCGCGGAAGAAGCCCTTGTCCAGCTTGGGCAGCCGGTGCTCTCCGCTCTGCAAGGAGCGCACAAGCTTCTTCCGCCCGTTGCGCAGCAGAATGTAGTCGTTGGGCCCCTTGCGGATGAGGGGCTGGTTGTAGTCAAAGTCCCTGCTGGGAGGCAGGCCCAGGTAAGAGTAGTAGTGCTGGCCCGCCCGGGTCAGCTGCCCGTCTGCGCGCAAGAGCAGCGCGAAGGCCCCCGGTCTGCGCCGCAAGTTCAGCACACGGCTCCATCCGCCCCCGTGCCCGGGCGCCGCCGTCCGCGGCCTCCGCGATCTGCTGTTGTTGTCTTGCCCAACTTGCCATTCTTTTTTTACGGGGCCATTTTTTTGCTCGGCCGTGCGCATTCTCCCGATCTGTGCAAGTTACCGGGGAGAATAGCTTGTTCCGCACGGTTTCCCGATTCCTATTCTCCCAGGCCATCTGTGCAGTTACGGGCGGGGAGAATAGCCGGTTTCGCACGGTTTTGCGCTGAGAAAAATGCTACTACTCTAGTCCGTACATAAATGTACGGACCGGAGTAATAGCTCGTTTTGCACGATTTTTCGCATGGCATGACACGATTTTTTGCTTGGTTTTGGCATGACATGATTTTGCATGGTTGTCGCATGTTTTTTTTTTCACGGTGTCCCGCTCGGGACGCCTCTGCTGGGGACGCCTCTGCTCGGCACGCCTCTGCTGGGGACGCCTCTGCTGGGGATGCTGGGGGTGGAGGATGCTTTGTTCGCGGCTGCGCACGGATGTCACGTTGATTTTTTTTGCTTGATAGGGACCTTTCGGTGTGGTGCAGATCTTGAGGGCAAACAGTCAAATGAGAGGCTTTGAAGGTTGAAGTGGAGGAGGGTTCCATGTGAACAGTTTCGTCGATCCTCTGAGAGAGGAATGTTCCGCAGCGCATCGGCTCGAATCGGACAGGACAGCAACAGCATCAGCAACCCTCGGAGATAGCAGCAACAGCAACCCTCGGCTCGGCTCGGGCATGATAGCATCAGCAACGTACTTTTGGCTCGGCTCGGACAGCAACCCTCGGCTCGGCTCGGACAGCAACAGCAACCCTCGGAGACAGCAGCAACAGCATCAGCAACCCTCGGCTCGGCTCGGCTCGGACAGCAACAGCAACCCTCGGCTCGGCTCGGACAGCATCAGCAACCCTCGGCTCAGCTCGGACATGACAGCATCAGCAGCACCAGCATCAACAGCAGCATCAACAGCACCTCGGCATCCGGCGCGCAGCGATGTGGGCCGCATGGACAGGCGTGGAGCATGTTTTGACGAGCTTCATTTTGTTGGGAAGGGGAGATGTGTCGTTTCTCGCAGGATCACATGACGCGGAAGAAGATCGATGGGGCAGTTGGGCGCCCTCGGAGGCTTGTCGGAGGGCTTGTCGGAGGGGTGCTTTTTTGTGCATTGTCGATGTCTGCCAGGAGACGCATGGAGCACATTGGGATCCGCCGATGCCTCATTGTAGTCTTTTTTTTCCTGAGCAATCTCTTGTTTGACAGGCGGCCTCATCATGCGACTGCACATCCGTCGACGCCTCATTGGGTTCTTTTTTTTCTTGAGCACTCCGTTGCTTGGCAGGCATCAGTGGCACCCTCCTCCGGGGCGGAACAGGCGTGCAGTGCTTTGCCGACCGAGCTTTTGACGGGGGTGGCAGGCCGCCGTCCTACCACGAGCGGCAGAGCCGGCAGGTGACGCAGGCGCCTTCTTTTCAGAGTTTCCAGCATGCACCAACTTGCTTTGTCTTCAGGCCGCGACGATCGCTCGGTTGGAGGCGGAGCTCAAGGCCGAGCGCGACAAGTGCGTTGAGCTCACGGAGAAGGTGGAAAGGCGATCGCTGAGTGGTAACACCGTCGCTTCGTGCTTCGTCAGGTACCGCGAGCAGGCGGTGACGACCCACACGGTGCCCGCAAAAGTCGCGCTTGGGCCTTCCGGGACGGGAGGGGAGGGGGGGTGGGGTCGGGGGGGTGCTGAACAAGCACCCGTAAACAGCGCTGAGCAAGCGCTAGTGGGAGGTGCTGAGCAAGCACCAGTAGGAGGTGCTGAGCAAGCGCCGGTCGGAGGTGCTGAGCAAGCACCGGTAGGAGGTGCTGAGCAAGCACCGGTAGGAGGTGCTGAGCAAGCACCGACTGGCTTGCCCAACGACCCTTAGTACGAGTTCGCCCAACGGCCCTTAGTACTGGTTCGCCCAACGACCCTTAGTGCTGACTTGCCCAACGGCCCATAGTACTGGTTCGCCCAACGACTCATAGCACTGGTTCGCCCAACCTCGTTGCCTTGTCAATCCCTCTGATTTTTTTCGGGCAGACCTGGTTGACAGGGTGTCAAAACCGTCAAAAGCGTCAAGTGTCAAATTGCGCCTCGTGACTGTTTTTTTCGGGGCGCTCTCAGGCTGTTTTTGACGGTCTTTGACGCTTCTGACGCATTTGACATTTTTGACACCTTGCGAACCGAAGTCCCAGGGTCTGATTTTCTTGGGGGCAGACTGGTTTGCCAGTGTGTCAAAATTGTCAAAAGCCAAGCAGTGGCTTTGTGACGACTTTTTCAGAGATTTTGGACGCTTTCGACGTATCGAGATGCTGCAAGGCATCCTCTCACAGTTGATTCCTCGAGGTTTTTGACGGCTTTTGGCACTTGACGCTTTTGACGGTTTTGACACCCTGTCAACTTGAATCCCGGGCCGTCGGAGGCAGACGAGAGGTGTCCCATTCTAGCTGACTGTGTTGGGCCCGCGCCCTGTGGACGTGCAGCAGTGCAAGTGATGTCGATGAGAGCATTCTTGCCATAATTGAAGTGGCAGCTGATTCAGAGATCAAACCAATTCGGAGAGCGGTCGATTCCAGATTCAGAGCTCGAAGCCATGTCCAGGGAGTTCAACGATTTGCAGCAGGCTGTCGTGGCCGGAGACGAGAGCCTGCCTGCTGACTACACTGATCTTCTCCCGTGCCCAGTCCGGCACTGACAAGGAGCGAGCGGAAGTGCTTGCTCAGATGATGAGCTCATGCGATGCGTCAAGCTGGCGAGATGTCGAGGAGGGGCAGGCAGAGAAGCGTCGTCGAGTATCCTTGCCACATGCGTCGGAGCCGGTGGATGAGCTCCCCGTTGGAGAGGAGGACACGGCCGGGCCTGAGGAGCGATTTGCCGCCTTTGGGGATTACGTTGAGGATGCTGAAGACCCGCCCTCTGACGGTGACTTCTCTGGACACGTTGTGAGATGGGAGCCCGTGAACGAGACGGTTGGAGAACTGCGACTGCTTCGAAATCCTCCTGTCCATCCGCCAACGGGCACTCGGGGTGAGGAACGGAGTCGGCCACATCCCGGTGCTCCAGCGAGAGTGTCGCCACGCTCCAGGGCTGCGTGCTGGTGCTGCGGGGTGGGGGACGTGCCAGAAATTCCCTCCGGATTGAAGGATAAGGAGGATCAAGCAAGCGCGGGATGATGCCATCGCGCGCCTGCCCCGCTTTCAGTCTGAGTTGAAAAAGGGAATGAGCTGGTGGGCCGGAGCGCCTTTGCCTTCTACAAGCTCATTCGCTACATCTGCAGATCTGGCATGGGCATCGTTGAGGTCGACTGCTGTAACGCGTACTTCCAATTCTTGTCCGGGCGTTTCCGCGTGTGCGAGGAGCTTGGCCACTATGTGAGTTGCCGGGATGCCGTACTGGAGATGATCGGCAAAGCCTTCGACGTTCCCCGGGTGGAGGCCAAGAAGTTGATCAGCAGCATCGGCTTTGGGGGCAGTCTCTCCACTTGGGCGAGCAAGGTCATGAGGAGGATTCCCGTGGTCGCGGAGGGCGGCTTGGTTGCCAAGGCAGTGAGCTGGCTGCACCGCCTGCTCCTCGGTGTGCAGCCGGTCGTTTGGCCCCTCGGCGGCCGACTTGCCCAGCGTGCGCGGCCGGGGCGCCTGCGCCTGCCGGCCCACGTCGGCCTTCAAGTCGGTGCAGCTCACGTTGAAGTCGTCGGCCAGGTCCCTCAGCGCCTCCATTTTAAAAAACAACTTTGTTGCTCCAAGAAGGAGCTTGAGCAAGTTTCCCGGGACGCAGGGAGGCCTGCGCACACAGCTGGACACAGTTTTTTTTCTCTACTTGTTCTTCGGCCCCTTGCTGGGCCTGCCAGGCTTCCACCTCGTCCAGCCGGGCCTGGAAGCCCTTGCGCACCCCCCACAGCACGCTGGTGAGGTGCGAGTAGTCGAGGGTGACCATCTCCGTGCCGTCGCTCCACCGGGTGGTCCCCGTCAAATTCTTCCACTTCGTTCCTGCGAAGTCGTCCCCCGGCTGTCCGACAAGTCCGTGAAGCTCGTGTTGCAGACCACGTTGCCCGTGTTGCTTGCGATCACCAGGCAGGGGTTCCTCTGCGTCGAGAGGTTGATCATGATGAGCTCGCACTGGTGCGCCCCGCCGTCCCGCTCCAGAAAGCCCCTCGCGCTCTGGTTGCCCAGCAGCCGCAGCTCCGGGCCGCTGTCGGGGGCCGCGCTGTTGTTGGACACCTGCAGCTTGCTCCAGCCCGCCCAGTTCTTCGTCAGGAAGAGATCGTCCGAGAAGTCTGAGGTGTTGGTCACGGTGAGCGTGTTGGACGCGAAGAGCTGCGGCGTGGAGACCGTGCCCGAGCTCGTCCGTCGCCGCACGCCACGCTGCCCGTCGACACTCCGCCGCTCGTGGCCGTGAAGGTGCAGTCCAGGCTCTCGCAGTCCAGCGGGCCCGTGGAGGCCGCCCCGGTGATCGTCAGCGTGGCGCCCGTGAGCGCCCCGGTGGCTGCGAAGCTCGCCGCGGTTGCTGCGCCCGAGGCCGTCAGCGTCCCCGTGGACACGTCGCCCACCGTGGTGAAGTTCCCGGCGTTGGCCGTGTTGTTGATGGTGAGAGTGCTGCCCGTGATTCCTGTGGCGGAGCTCAGCAGGCCCACGCTGGCCGCGCCGGTGATGCTCAGCGAGCTGCCTGACACGGCGCCGGTGGACGACAGCGTGGCTCCGGCGACGGCTGTGAGCGCCGCGCAGGAGACTGCGCCCGAGGCGTCCACGCCCGTGGTGAACACGTCGGTGCAGTTCACGTCGTTGCGCAGCACCTGGTCGCAGCCCACGTTGCCCTGTGCGGCGAGGCCGTCCAGCGTGGCCGAGCCCGTGAGGGCCAGCGAGTCGGCCAGCAGGTCCGTCACGGAGACCGACTCGCAGCGTCTGGGCACGAGGCGGCGCTGTTAGCAGTGCTACTGATTGAGCCATGGCCCATGCATATGACATTTGCAAGCAATGTATTCCGGATTTACCTGCACCCCCTGATTGCTTGTTTGAGCTGCAACAATGGGCATCCACTGTGCCTCGAGGACTTCTGTTCGCTGACACCTTGACCATTGCTATGCAGTCTGCTATTGTGATCGCATCGCTGCAGATGATTTCGCCGATTTCTTCCTTTGCAATGGTATATGGTACACCCAAAGGTGACGCAGACGAACCATTCTTGCCGACAGTGCAACTTTCTGACAGACCTTTACAGATTTTTGGCCTGAAATCTGATCGTGGTTGGCTCCTACCGCATGCTTTCTTCACTGTCACCAACGCAGGCTACTTGCTTCCTTGGGCGCATGACTTGCCAATCAATTTCCGAGTTGCGGAGATCTTTGCAGGCGGACTTGGTGGTTGGTCTATGGCATTGAAATTGCTCACACAACAGGCCAACACCTCAAACAGCTTTGCCCATACCTTTGCTGTTGAGCATGATCCGGAACTTGCCTTTGATTTTGCTTGCAACCGCGGTGCAACTATCATTCGGTCGGTTCATGATGCCACAGATGATCAATTCAGTGTTTTTGTGGGTGACGCATCGGCCTGGCATGTCATCGGCTTGACATCCGAAACCAGGACCAATGTATTGTGTGCCTCGCCGCCATGCCAACCGTATTCTTCAGCTGGCAAAGGACGTGGGCTCTTTGCACAGGAAGCCTGGCCTTTCGTGGAATGGATTTGGTCATTGAGGGTTCTCCAACTTCCTTTGGCTCTATTGGAGAACGTTGGAGGCCTCATTCGCCATCGGCATTGGTCAATTCTATCTGCTTTGATTCATCAGTCAGAGTATGATATCAACATCACGCAATTGAGCCCCTTGTCCAAATGTCGACCCATACACCGGACTCGATTTCTTGCAGTATTGGTCAATAAGCGCTTGGGCATCACTCATCAAGTGACCCCACCATTGCTGCCTTCTTTGCCGCTTGATACAACTTTGCTCCGGAGTGTGATCGGCTATCCCTAGCCAAAATCGCATCTTGCTGAATTGCAACTGACAGATGAGCAGGTATGTTTCTATGACAGGCAGGACCTGCTACCGGTGGAATGGTCAGGTTGTGGCGAGTACGTCATCGAGGCCAGGATCATGCATACATCCGAACACGCTCGCGCTGCACTTGCGAGTTATGGTCGTGCGCACGATTTCGGTGAGTCTTGCTTGGCTGATGGAAAACTCCTGGGTCGACTTCTGCGAACCCCCAAGGGTTTTCGATTTATCAGTCCACTTGAACATCAGCTTCTGCATGGCACTGTCAGTGAAACATTCTTGTCGCGGAATCTTCGGCGAGCTCAACAATCCGTTGGGAACCACCTCCCGGCTATTCAGGCTGCTTCGATTCTTATCGCTGCATTTCAGTTGGTTGGAGTGCAGTATCATGATGATCCACTTGACCTCTTGTCCCAGATGTGTGCGACCTTTGTTCATCCCAAAATGATGAGCCTTGAGGTTACTGAGGATCATTGGGTCCTGAAAGCCGCATCGTCAGGTGATGCTATTTCGGCGACCTTGCCAATGCCTGGCACTAAGGAGGTCTGGTGCAACCATATCAACACACGCACATGCATCAGTGGATTGTCTGACGATACCATCCTCAGTGTCTTGCGAGCCCATGGCATCAGTGCATTAGATTGGGTCATCTTTGACAATGGCAGAATCAACCGCACCCATCGTGTGTCGCCTTTCTCTACTTGGGGAGGCGTTGCGGGAGAATTGCTGTTTTTCCAGGAGTGTCTTGCTTTTCAGGAAGGTGACCGCAGTGACAATGTATTGCAGCAGCTCAAGGAGTACGTGCAAGGACTCTGGTGCAAACTTGCAGTGCCTTCGTGCAAGCGCATGATCCTGAGCTTTCCATTTCTCGGATACTTTGAGGTTGCTGTTCCGGAGGCTGCCACCGATCTCTGTGTGTACAATGCCTTCCACAAGGCCGTCGGGACGGACAGTGAGTTTTGGAAGTATCAGACGGCTATGCAGTTGTGCATGTACGGGCCTGTGACTGCTTCGCCTCTTGTGCATTGGCTTGTCCAACCTTTTCGGGATGTTCAGGCGTTCATGTGTGCAGTCAACGACAGAAACACATGACTCGGCCGTGCAGCTGATATACCAACTTCGGCTGCTTACACAGCTTGAGTGCCGGGAGTTGTGCTTGATGCGTACCCAGCCCAATCCTGTTGGGACCGATGACCGACTTGTGCTCATGTCGAGGGCGTTTCGGCCTGTCGATGTCATTTCGACCATGTTTCAGGACGCGGTTTGCTCTGCTTATTTCAATTCCATGATCCAGCCATTTCGTGATGGTTCGCAACAGGGCATTCGCCTTCGCATTCGGCTGTGGAAGGGAGTCATTTTTGCTGGCCACGTCAGAAGAGACACGCCGCTGAATCTCGTACACGAAGCGTGGGCATACACATGTTCCTGGTTTGCTGAGGTTGTGGGACCGATTCGTACCATCCTCAATGGCCGATCCGCAATGCCTGGCACCCTGTTGAGTGACCATGTCAGTGTCGACGCCAAGCATGCCACCATACACCTCCTGCGGCCACTCCATGGGGGTGGTACCGGTGTGCCTGACATCGTATCGGTTGAAAAAGCCGACAAGCTTGTTCCACAGCAGAATCAACCGGATCCTTCACATATCCCGCTGGTACATGAGGCATGGTGCACTTGCAAGCCTGTGCATCGCAAACCCGTCAACATCTTGTCCATGACTGCCTCGTGTGAGTGGAAACAGGTGAGTTCTGGTAAGCTCTCTGCTGTACTTCCCTTGGATGATGGTATTCGCCTTATCGGAGAATGGATCAGACCGGCATCCTGTCTCAATTCGAACTCCTTGGGTGGACATTTCAATGCCTTCGCGAACTTTCTATGTTGCACTTGCAAATTGTGGAGCAGGCTGACTCCTCTGTCTGTGCCGGCCACTGTCATCGAACTCACCGATTTGCTTTTTGCGCACTATGTTTGTACTTTCGAGGTTGCAGCAGGACTGACTGCGGGTTCGCTGACGAAATCCGTTGACCTCAAGGTCAAGACCATTACTGGCCTGTCCTTATTTGCACGTGTTCCCGCTGGCACCAAGGCCATTGTGTTGCATCGTGCGTGGATGTTTGCGACTGCGTGGACCGGTGTTAACAATGTGATTCGCCTCGTTACTGCCGGTAGACAGATCATGCCGAGAACTGCTTTCAAGAGCCAGCCGAATGGAAGACCTTGCGGTGTTCATGTCTTCTTTCCTTTGCATGGAGGTGGTGGAAACTCCGAGCCGGTAGGTGATTTGGTCTCCTTGCTCACGCGTACCATGTGCTTGCAGGGAGCCGAGCAAGAAGAATCGCAATCATTTGCTCAGAAGATTGTTGCCCAGCTTGGGGCTGCACGCATCCGCCGGGTGTGCACAGAAACACGGCCAGAACACATTGGGAAGGGCCTGAGAGGTTTGGCGTCAGCGGCGAGTATCAAACTCCCGCAAAAGTCATCCGGCTCCAAGAGTGTGCAACGCTTGACGGCACATCAGGCGACACACTTCACCCTTGTGCCCGGATTTGCAAAG